TGTAAATTCCATTTTGTTGGCAGCCGATCAAGACACAACCCTTTTTTGTAAATTTCATTTTGTTTCAAAAATAGCTATTAGTTATTAGTTCTAATTAAATAGATTAAATATTTCATATTATAAATAACATTAGTTATTAATTATTAGATATTTATTACTAATTATCAATTGTATCTGATTAGTTAATCCATATAGACTTTATATAGGTATTGAGTAGCACACTTATCAAGAAACTTGAAATTTATAATAATAATAATAATATCAAATCTAAGATTTAATCTTTATATTTTATTCTTTAAATCACTTAATATCTCTAACTCTCTCCTCAAATTTAAAGTGGTTTGACCAACTTGAGTTAAGAGAAGGAAAAAAAAAAAACTTCCATGGTCTGTCCTTTATCTTGAAGGTGAACCATGATCTTTCAGAAAGAATATCTTGAAGCATATAGCATCTCATAGCTAGAGTTTTTTTTTTTTTTTTGGTGCAGATCTCATAGCTAGAGTTAAGAATCTATTTGGAGGAAAGAAGACAACCAAAGTAGAGCAGAATCAATAGAAAGTTAAAGCTAAATTAGCATAAATTAAGCAACAAAATTGAAAAACAAGAACACACACACATTACATAGCACATAGAATATCTTGAAGAAAATGGCACCTAACATTTTCTCTTTTCTTTAGTTTCAAGCACTCTCAAACTTCTTCAACAATCTCAAACATTGCATGGGGCACTTATTTTTTTTTTCTTTGGAAAAACAAACACACACACACAATATAACCAAATTCATCATATCCATGGAAGAAACTTCTTCGCAAACTTAAAAATGCCAATGACAGCAATCTCGAAGTATTCGATGTACAAACCGAACTGCACAATCACATAGACTCCGACCGGGAGGAATGCAGCAGCGTAGGTCAAAGTCGTAGTCCATGCCTTCTTCAAATGAATCGTGAGGACAATGGCTGCTGTGAAGGAAAGTACGGTGTTTAAAATAGCAAAGGACAGAAAGAGGAAGCCAAACGATAGGTTCCGGGGTATGTCATCTTCAAAATCTTTAAGATCAAGCGACGATGTGAGCACTGAAAGGAAGAGCACAACTGACGTTAATGAGCTCGCCAGTCCGGCCACGTCCATCACGGTGAAAAAAGAGTATAGAGGTCGCTCCTCAAAGATTGGACGCCCGAATTCTTCAAAACATTTAAAAGAAGAAAAAAAATTGTTATGGCAGCTTGTCAATTACAAATTAGAATTTTCTTTTTCACAGGGAGAAGAAAAAAAGAAATTCAGTTAATTACCATTGAAACCACCTGGCGCGGTGAAGGCGGCAGCAAAGACAACCGTGGCGACGAGTACTGCCACGGCGGAGCACGACTGACAAGCGTTCTTGACCCATTCTTGTGCCTCTTTGAGTTGATCTTTGTGCTGCTCTTTGAACAGTTCCCATGCTGTATAATTCTCCTTGTTGATGTGGATTGTGTACGAAGCAGGAACCATTTTTTGCACGTTCTGCAAAACCACGACCACAATTCACAATTTTTTTGAAGAAATATAAAGAGGTTGAGTTTGAATTAATGTCTATTAATGAATTTAACGAAGCGGTTGACATATAGAGGCTGACTTTGAACCATTCCAGCTCATCTTGCAGGTTCAGAGCTACCGTTGATTTTGTTCCTTCGCGATAGTATTTGGTATGAGCGGCTTTGTGCAGTATGGTGTCACCGTTTTTGTCAATTCCTAAAACCAGCCTCCTCTTCACCGCATCACACTTCTCCTTGACATATTCAAAGATGCGGTGTTGACGGTATAGAATGGCGACGTGTAGAATATTCTGTCCATTCTGAGTCACGTGCTCCAGCGCTTGAGGATACTCTTTGTGAATCATCTCCACGATCTCCAGGATCCCTCTGCTGGCGGCGATCATGAACGGAATATCCGACATTGACACAAAGGCGGTGCCTTTAACTCCGGTTTGGGACGACACCTCGTCACTCTCTCTTTCGCCAACTGTTTCTTTGTCTCTTAAAAGGCAAATATTGGTGTTGTACTCTTCTGAATGGTAGTGCTCACACCATGAGGAAGAATCCAGCTTTACCAGCTTGTCAGCCAATTTACTCGCTAATTCATGCTTGCTCTTCTTTTCCCCTATATCTTCAATATATTTCCATCCTAAAAGAAATAAATTTAAATTCTAAAAGGAGTTTTCCATTTTCAGTTTGGACATGTTTAAATAATTAGAGTATCCTTAATGAATTACTATAGAGAAAAAAATTCATTTATGATATTAACAGTATGTCTAAATTATAAATGGTAAGGGTTATCTTTGGTTAAAGAGAAACAAAGAGCAGTGGAGATTGATACATTTGCTTCCCTTTCGTCTTACCTTCAAGAAACATCCAAAAACGAATCCATAGATAATTCCAAAAATAAAGACAAAGCATGCCTAAACCTGCATGAAGGAAAATTTGGAATTTCAAATATATCTGCAACACATCACTTTACAAGCTGCATGAATGCTGGAAATTAATGCATACTTATATTACCTCTCATTGTTTGATGGTCCTCCCTAGCCTTGCAGCACTGACTTGGTACATGCTGATTAGTTTCATCTCTAGAGGGTAAGTCACCAGGAATAACTGGAAACAAAAATGCCAAATCGAGTCAATGTTAGCTGGAATTAATGTGTCTTTTGTCCGTATGATTGTAGTTTGCAATGAACTTACCTCTATATATAAACTCCTTGAATCCAGACATTCTTCCAGAAGAACTTTTGAAAGCAGTCGACATGCTTGCGAGAAAGTGAAGACATGTTTTCTCAGAATCATTTCGCATTGCCAGCTCTGGATCTTTTTCTAGTAACCAATTAGCTGTCTCTGCATTTAATAGAGAATGGCCCGAACTGTAATCCCTTTATCAGTGGATTTAAGGACAGACTCAGCTGATTGTAGTACAAAATGTAAAACACCAACCTCTTTCCTAAATTAGTGCTTTAATTTAAAATCAACAGAGTGAGCAGTACATACCGAATTGTTCATTCATGATAGCAATATGAAGAATGGATAGATTATCACAGCCTCTTGCGAAGTTATGTTGAAGATTTCCCTCTGCATTCTCCACCTTATCTGCCAAGTACTCCACCGTTGCTTTATTACCAAGTGCCGCAGCCCTGTACAATGGCGTCTCCCCTGAGTCATTGTGGCTCAACAGCATTGTCGCCTGTGCTCCATGTGCATTCTCAATCAAGAATTTTGCTGCAGCAACTTTTTTGCTGATGGCTGCCTCATGGAGAAGGGTGTTGCCATGCATGTCCTTCATCATCATCACCTCCTCTTTTCTAGACGCTGGAACCATTTCGAAGAGGACTTGAAGCAGTTCTATGCTCCCCATGTATGCTGCAATGTGGAAAACAGTATCTCCACAAGGAGTGACACTATGGAATAAAGCACCACGTTTGGTCTGATACAGTGTTTTAATGCTTTCCCAGTCATTGTTCAGGGCCTTTACATAGTAAGGCTCCTTCATTATCTCAACCTTTTCTAGATCACTCCCAATGCACACCAAATCTACTTCTTTTGTCATCCCTCCTTTTCTTTCTTCACTCTGCTGAACTGATAATTAAGTAGTTTTTTCTTTGGTGGCTTTATTTTGATGTTAATGATTCCTGGTTTATATATAGCCTGCAATGGCAAGAAAGAGTAGCAAAAAATAATAGCATCTCTACTTTGCTCAGTTAATTAATAAAGCTAAACCATGGAAAAGTTGAAAATGAGAATATAGTAAAGAGAAAGGAAGGAACAACAGAGTTCCAAGTTATGCTAAAGGATATTACACTCTAAATCCAAAGGCCAATAAGAAAATGACACTTTAGAAATATTTGCATCCCATGCTAAAGAGAGTCAAGCGAAAATATCATTCGAGCTGATGATACCTGAAGAGGAGATGCAAAGGTTTCTGATATATCATTTCTTTTTTAAAATAAGAAATCTTGTGATATAACAGAATTTCCTCACTCTAAAAACACGGCTACTCAAATAATCCATATAGAGTAAATGTTTAGCTGTTCTAGTTCTCGATCCTTCATATCTCAGTTATTGGAATGTGGTGCGGTGGCTTTTGTTTAATTCAAGTTTTCTTGATATATTCTCCATGATTCACTTAGGGGAACAAAATGGCAATTTATATATTATCTCCAGCTGGAAGAATTGTCTGAAATTAATGAGAATAAAGCTACGTTGTATTCTCTTAATAAAAGTTAAATGCCATGTATGCCATTTGTTGTTACTATTCATTAAAAAATGCTCTCAAACTTAGTACTTTCAAGAGTCCGACTGGTTGTTCCACACAGAGATGTGATGAGAATAAAGCAAAGAGGAATGCTACCTAATTAATTAATGCACTCGGCCTTTGATTCGTTGAGTGCTAATTTTTTTTTCAATTTTTTTTAATTTATATAAACAGTGCACACTCGGTCAATCAGTTGCTGGTAGCACTGCTCTAAAAAATATACAAGACCTGAAAAATTGAAATAACACTTATCTTTTGGGTTCACAAATTGGTCTGAAACATAAATCATAAATGAATTAAGTTTTGTTCGAACTCATCACTTTACAATCCGCATGAATGCCCGAAATTAATACATACTTTGATACTTATATTACTTGTCATTCGCATCTCAGTGGACTAAGTCGCCTCGAATATCTAAAAACAAAAACACCAAATTGAGTCAGTGGTACTGAATTAATCTGTCTTTGGCTCGTATGGTTGTACGTAGTTTGCAATGAACCTACATCTATATATAGTCTCTTCAATTCAATCCATACATTCTACGAGAAGAACTTTTGAAAGCAGTTGGCATCATCGAAGATATTAAAGCATGGAAAAGAGAGAAGGGAAAATGGAAAGGAAAGGTTGATGTCTCGCCTCAAAATTAATACCCTTTAGCTAAGCAGTTGTTGTAGCGTAGCTTTAGGCGTCGAATCCACAGAGAAGCTATATTAAATCAACAAAAAAAGTTGTTACAATGAAAAATTAAATTAAAAGAGGAATTCTAAAATTAATAATAAAAATATTTAAATAAAAGATGATAATTGTAAAAGATTGAAAACAATATTATGATGAACAAGATTTCAGGGTTCACTTAATTGATTTGTTTAACTGTTATAAATTTTAATTCGTATTTATTACTCAATTGCATGTTTCACATCCCAAACAAACAATCGAAAGATTCAACTTTGAAAACCAATAATAATGACTGATGTATTTATTTTGAGAAAAATTAATTTCAATGAAGAACAAACTGATCTATCCTTACGAGTTATCCCAGAGCGACAATATATCTAATCGACAATACTGCAGTAAAGAATCAACTCGCAAAACAAATCTACCAATCAATTATATTCTAACAAATCACACATAAAAAGAGCATGACTAATCTTATATGAAATTTGATAAATATAATTTTCAAGGTTTTCAAGTCTGAAAATAATTAATAATCTTTCAAAAATAAAATTAAACAATAAAATTTATGAAGGAATCAAAATAAAATAACAAGTCAAACTCTTCAATTAAGATCCTCTTTAGTCTTGTTGAAAGTTTAGTTACCCTTTGACATAATTCTCTAGTCTTGAAGAAGAAAATAGAAGTCTGGTAGCCGACTCTCCAGCCCCTAGAACCCCCTCTAAAATAACTTGAATGGGTATTTATAGAATCTTAGAAACCCTTATTAGAATGGATGTGGAGCTGGGCTGAATTACCGCGCAAGGGGTCGACACTCTTTACAAGGTGCCGGCACTTTGAGTGGAGCGTCAGCTGCATCTTCGTGTCGGGTTTTTGGCCTTTTGTGCAATTTTGCTTAATGGCAGAATAACAGTCTTGGTCCCTGACTCTTGGATTCCGTGCAAGTTGATCATCATATTTCTGAGCTTTGCAATCTGCTCCTTGATCAAGAATGGAGAAAATCTCACTTGAGCCTTTAAACTTCTGATTTATCCTTAGATCCTCATCTTTTCAGCTCTTTGCATTTAAGTCCTTTTTCTTCTAATTCTCTCCATTTAGTTATCAAACCTTTAATCACCAAAATTTTGCACAACATAAATAAAGTGAACAATTATGAAATTATTTGTAGAAAAATATAACTCTTAAACCCATAATTCTACAAATGTCCATGGTTAAGCACACTTTAGATATACATTTTCATGCTTTCATCAAAGGTATAAGTATTATTATTAAGAGATATGATAATGAATAGGTAGCCTC